ATGGGCCGAATGGCCTCCTTCTGTGCCGTAACATTCTATGAAATCTATGAATATTGTGACATTTCCTAACAGGATTTCTTAATTAAGAAATGAATTGTGGGAAACTAATTTGTGTTCCAACTCGATCTACAATAGGAGGGCTTCCCTTGCGTTGGTGTGATGTGAGTGAGGCACTTAGTTAGTGGAAAGACATCCAACTTGGATTTTTCTTATACTTCAATTTAGACCCCAATAATAATAAACTGGTTGTTGTATACTTGATTTGGTTATCAGATGTGAATAGCTGCAAAGCTAACCCAATATTAGAGGCAGTACATAGGCATATGGGTAAAGAGTGAGCCAGGAGGGAGCTTACTGAATACGGACTTTAATACAATACAAAATTACATTTGTATAGCGGCTTTCACATCAGGAGGATGGCCCAAGGCACTGGACAGTCAGGGATTTGGACCTGAGCTGGGGGTCAGGATCGAGGAGGGTGCAGGTCAAGGAGGGTAGGGATGGCCGAAGGGTTGGTCAAAGAGGAGGGTTTTTAACGCTCCTTGAAGGAGGCAAGGGAGGGAGCCAGGCGAAGGGAATGTGGGATGGATTTCCATAGGGTAGGGGCAGAGAGGCTGAAGACCCACCCTCGGAGCAGGCCACAACCTGCTGAGTGGAGGCAGTGGATAGGTTGATATGGGGTCAGCAGGTCGCAGAGGTAGGAAGGAGCAATACCGTGGAAGGCCTTGAAGGTGAGGGCGAGGATTTTGAACTCTAATAAATACAACATGGAAGGGTTACGTGGTCCTTTCTAAATGCTACATTCCTAATCAAGAACGCAGTATGTGTAGCCCATGTGTAAATTTGTGTATTATGTGCCATGTGGAAATGCGTGCAGAGGGAATTACAGGTACCTTTAATTATGTAATGAATTCTGGAATGAATAAATCCTTTCATAAAGATTGCATTATTAACAGCACCAACAGTTCCTCATGTATAGACACATTTACAAATGGGTTGCACATGGCACTTAATAGATCCTGATATTTCTGTCTCTGTGCAATGCTGTGAGCAGAACGACCTCCCTGCTGGGTGGGTCAGAGCTTCAAGGGGACCCGCATTGACCCATTCTCATTCTCTTGCCTTCCAAGCTAATTGACAAATGGAAAAATGGAAAACTAAGGCTGTGGTGAACAGCTAACTTCTAAAAATAGCAAAAGTATTTCCATGTAAGTGTCATTAAATAGTAATGGAGGTAAGGGAATACTCGCTGAAACACATGAGTAGCTGCAGGAGTAGATTGTGAGAAAGGTGATGGTTTGCATGGACTCACGCTCCTTTGCTTCTCATGGATACAACTGAATGATGAATGTCCAGCTCATATATTGTAGCTGAAAGTACAGTTGCATTGCATAAGGATGATGGTTTTGTCTGACAAAGAACTCAGTTGGATTGCTGGCAGTGAGCCAGACTGGTTGAAGGATAAACGAAAGCGAGTTCCCCAAAGGTGAAGTCAAGGATATTTTGTTTTAACAAATTAAAAACACTATGTTCAGTTGTTACAAACCATTTAGTACCCTCTTTTTTTCATTCGACTAGTTAGCTATCAACCTGGCTCAGGTGGTAGAGTTCTTACTTCTGAGTCCAGTGCCTTGGGACGTCCTCCCGACTTGAAAGGCGCAATACAAATATAATCTTGTTGTTGTTGAATCTGAAAGTTGTGAGTTCTAGTCCTGTGTCAGAGCTTTGAGCTCACAGTCTAGGTCAATGCTGTCCACTTGTGGCTATTTTGCTTTCCAAATGTGGCCACTTCCACATCAGTGAATCAGCTTGTGTTTCAGCTTGCGGGACTGAAATGGATGTTCTGTCACCTTTTCACCTCAAAACATCTCAAACAACAATAACAACAAATTATATTTGTATAGCGCCTTTTATGTCAGGAGGACATCCCAAGGCGCTGGACAGCCAGGGACCCGCATCCAAGCTGGTGGTTGCAATCAGGAAAGGTAGAGGACAAGGAGGATAGAGGTAAGAGGGTGACTGAAGGCATGGTCAAAGAGGAGGGTCTTGAAGGAGACAAGGGAGTGGACGAGGCGGAAGGACTGTGGGATGGAGTTCCAGAGGGTGGGGGCAGAGGCTGAAGGCCCGCCTGCCAATGGTGGGGCGGCAAAGTTAGGCGACATGAAGTAGGCCGGAACCTGCTGAGCGAAGTGAGTGGACGGGTTGATAGGAGGTTAGGAGGTCACAGAGGCCGTGGAGGGCTTTAATAGTAAGGACCAGGATCTTAAACTGTATCCTCTGAGTGATGGGGAGCCAGTGGAGCCAGGGGAGGATGGGGGTGATAAGAGTCGTGGAGCCTGGTGCGGAGGAGGACATGGGCTGCAAATAACAGTTTACGTATGGCCAATGGCCACTGGGTTGGACAGTGCTGGTCTAGGCTGTCACTCCATCCAGTACAGTGTTGGGAGAAGCACTGAATTATCAGTCTTGCCTTCCTTCAGATGAGACAATAAACTGAGGTCTCATCTGCCTGTTCAGGTGAATGTAAAAAGATGCCATCGCACTATTAATAATAATAATCCTTGCATTTGATCTAGCGCTTTTCATGTCGGGAGGACGTCCCAAAGCGCTTCACAGAATATACTGTAAAGTGAATTGACTGTATATTTGTGGGCGAACGCGGCAGCCAATTGCGCACAGCAATGTCCCACAAACAATCGTGGATTGAAAATGACTAATTTATTATTGTTTTGGTTTTGGAGGGATTATTATTAGGCGTGTGGAGTAAGGAAACTTGCCCAAGGTTTCGCCCTCTGCCTGGAATTGAACTCAGGTCTCTCGCTTGCAAAGCGAGTGCTCTAACCACTGAGCTACAGGACTCCACTATTCGAAAAGAGAAAGATTTCTCTTGGTATTCTGGTCAACAGTCCCCCAGAAAAATTGGTCATTCACTTCATGGCTTTTTGTGGGACATTGCTGTGCACAAATTGATTGCCTTATAGGCCTACAAAATGCACTGTTGCTAAAGTTCTTTGAGACATCCTTCCAACATGAAAGATGCAATATGAAATGCAAGTTTTTTTAAATCATATTTTCTTGTTGAATGGTGGCGGTTGGAGCTAGTTAAACGTGTGGAAGAATGCTTGCTTCTCAACAAAAATCAGTACCATGTTAACCTTTGAGCCACAGCGTGTGGCACAGTCAGTTTTAAGGTAGTTACTGTGATGTAGTTCATAGAATCGCACAGCACAAAAAGAGGCCATTCGGCCCATCGAGTCTGTGCCGGCTCTTTGAGAAGTTGAAGGAAGAAGATTCACACACCAGTGGATTATTTGGCAACTCAGCTGGTCGCATTTTTCAATTATGTATTTATTAACGACATTGTCAATTAACACATCATAGGTCACAATTTTCATATCAAATGTCTTATGAACCTTTAGAGAGTTATTAAAGCAGATCAGATTCATCCCTGTATTCCTCTGTGCTGATGGAAAATTCTGTACACTGGAGATATACTGTACAAGAATGACATTTATCTAGTGAGCTACATATTCTCTTGCCTGAGGTGTAAAATGTATTGGTGTAAATTCTCAAGCTACCTTAACACTATTCAATATAATTACTGTGAATAAGGATGGGTAATGTTATAGTAACTGAATTTGTTAGATGGTGGTTCTGAGAGCTGCTCCATTTATTGTATGCCAGTGAGCTATCGTTGTGCAGCTTTGCACATCCACAATACCCTTTGTACTGTGGGAAGCCGCAATTCTTATGAATTCCGTCCAGTGGGAAATCTGGAACCATGTTACCTTCTCTAAAAACAATCAAAAAGTATGGTATCAAACTGCCTTGAGAGACTCTAAATCACTCTCTGATTTTTCTGTCTTTGCTTCTGATCAATCAATGTCGGACAAGGTTTTACTGAGACAGATTACTGTTTGTCTTGTACTGGGTGATTGCAGACTGTGAAGGTGCAATGCCTCTTTTCATCAAAGCCTGCATATCTCAGCAAGCTTCAAGAGCTCAGTGCGTTGGCACAATAAAGGAATTATTTATCATAGCCCTTCCTGATGTGAAGATCCCATCTGTTTTAGTCAATCTCTAATGAATTATCGATAAGGCATTCAGCCATTAACACCAGCCTTTCATTGGGTGCTTCGGTGGAATTTAAATGTACATATACTGCTGTTTGATAGCACTAATTAAACAGTCGTGTCCTTTTAATTTAATTCTAGTTACATCTGCCTTGTAACCTTTGTAAAATGACTGAGCCTGGTTGTCATGTTAAGTAACTATATTGAAGTATACAGCTCCTTCCATCGTCTCAATGCAAAGCAATGTAATGCTCTCAGTGTCTTGTCACTGAATGCTTAATAATAATAATCCTTGCATTTGATATGGTGCCTTATCAAGTCTTTGAGACGTCTCAAAGCGCTTTACAGAATATACTGTATAGTAAATTGACTGTATCTTGTATGGGTGAAACGAGACAGCCAGTTGCACACAGCAGTGTCCCACAAACGTGAATAGAGTGACCAAATTATTATTATTTTATTTATTTAATTAATTTTTTGAAGGGATTATTATCCCTGGAAAGGCAATCCCCCAATTGACTAACCGGGTTCCTACTTATTGCTAGGTGAATGCTTAGCAAAGATTCCAAGCCAAACTCACCAGTTCTGATCATTTTGCACAAAGTGCACCCCAGATGGCACCTGCACAAACAGTACTGAAGGAAACTGAAGCTCAAAATGAGATTTTCACCATAGAAATGACCAGCACAGAAGAATTTAGCACATCATGTGCAATTTGCACCTAGTATAGAGTTGGGACGAGTTGACTTTCACTTGTGTGAGGACATACTTGTAGTTCAGCGAATGTACGGGTGAGGACAGCGGACCGCCAAGGTCTCTTGTGGTTCTGTATTATGTTCTTATTTCCATGTTCTGTGTTCCTATTTATTTAGAACATTAGAACATCGTAAAAGGCATTTTTCTTTTTTCTTGCTTTATTTCCTGCAGGAACTGATGACAAAACTGATAACCGAGACCCCTAATCAGCCGATCCCCTTCTTAATACATCATCTGCAAGCTAAGCTGGGGAGCCCCAGCCAGCTACACAGGACCTTATCAGGCTCTGCTGCCCTTTGGGCAGAAACAGGTATGTCAGCTGCAGCAGGCACTGCTTTGTACAATGTTTTTCAAGACATTAAACATCAGAAATGTGACAACTTGGTCCAGTTGGTACTCTTACCTCTGTTGAGAAGGTTGTTTAGGCCCTACATTCAGACTTGAGCTCGCAGTCTATTCTGACCCTCCAATGTAGGACTCAGGTACTTTCATTTCACAGTGCTTTATATACACACACACACACACACACACACATACATACTTACCTGGAAGATAACTGAAAACCACTTTATTCTGACTTTAGGATATTTCTGGATGGAATGTTAAACGGGCTGAGTAGATGTTTATCTCAACTGAAAATTTGAGCCTTAATAAAATCTTGACAAAGTTCCATGTAGGAAAAAAGGATATAATTATCTGCTGTAAATGCAAAATGAACACATATGTATTGAGAGCTCTAGGAATGAAATTCTATTTTCTGCTTTTAGCAACTTTGACGATGTGTATTTAAAATGTAAACAATTGCAACATAAGTGCTCGTCAGCGAACCCTTCACACTTAATAATAATAACAATTCTTATATTTGATAATTTGTCTATAATGTGTCATGGGATCATTAACATCATCCTCAACAGGATGGTGACAGGACCTTGGTTTAACATCTCATCCGAAGGACAAAACCTCTGGCAATGCAGTGCTCCTCCAGCACTATGTTGGAACATCAACCTAGACTGTGACCTCAAAGTCCCAGAGTGGGGCTTCAACCCACAGCCTTCTGACCCAGAGGCAAGAGTGCTACCGACTGAGAAGCGAGAGTGTTCCCAGGCTAACACTTAGCTTAACAGCAATAGGAATTTCTTTCTCCTCGGGTCTTTGTTGCATTAATTATAAGATAGATTGCATTTCCGTTTATAACCATTAGTGATTGTTAGATCCCATTTTGGGCTTTCTTGACTTTGAGAGTAATCTCCGATTGCAGCCTGTCCATTGATCTCTCAAAAGAGATGTCTCAGAGGGCACATCGAGAGATATATAAGACACTAAAAGGAATTGAACAAGTAAGCCCAGAATAATATTTTCCGATATGCTCGGCAGTGAGGTAAGAGTCACAGATTCAGGTTGTGAAGAGCAAGTTAAGGACAAGATGTATTTTTTTGCATGGGTGTGTGAGGGTGAGGGGGTGGTGTGGAGGAGACTTAATAGCTGAAATGGGTTTATAATCATAATAAAATAATAATAATAATCCTTTCATTTGACATAGCGCCTTTCGGAGGACGTCTCAAAGCGCTTCACAGTATATACTGTAAAGTAAAGTGGAGGGACTGTGTGTTTGTTGACTTATTAACCTATATTTTGAGCATGTTTGAGTGCCTTGTTTAATTAATGACATATTTATTTGACATCATTATTTACCAGCAATCTGATTAATAATTTCCTTTCTCCCTTCAGAAAACAAGGGGTCCCGGCGAGATTATAGAGGCTATGACAAACCATGGCTGGCAAATGCCAAAAAGCCCAAAAAGTCAAAGAGTGACCTTGCTGTCTCCAACATTTCTCCACCATCACCAGAATCCAAGTCCTGTAAGGATGTCTTCTTTATGTGCTTTGCTTAGTTTTTTTGCTCAGGGTCAAGAGCTAATGTTACTAGCTTTGTGAACTTGTACATAACGCCTATAGAAAATAGCAAAAGTGATTCATTATTACTATATGATTATTGTGACACTGGAACTCCCTCACTGTATCCCTCGGTCGCTCCCTCGCTATCTTCCTTAAAGTCTTAAGGCTTTTAGACCTCACTTTTGGTCATCTTTCTACTCCTTACCCTCTTTGGCTTCCATCCCCAGCTCGGTTGCCCAGTCAACAGTCTTAAGTGCTTTGAGATGCACTCACAATATGAAACGAATGAAGCTCTCTGAGTAGTAACTCTTCCCTCCACAAGCTGCAGATCATCCAGAACTCTGCAGCTCGCATCCTCTCCCGCACTAGGTTCCGTGACCCCATCACCCCCACCCTTGTCCGGCTCCACTGGCTCCCCATCCCTCAGAGGATAGAATTCAGAATCCTCGTCTTCACTTACAAGGCCTCCATGTCCTTGCCTCCTCCTACATCCCTGATCTGCTGATCCCCCTATTAACCTGTCCGCTCCCTCCGCTCAGCAGGCTCCAGCCTATTCCAGGTCTCCTGCCCGACTCACCCTAACATCGGCGGCCGGGCTTTCAGCCTTTCTGCCCCCACACTTTGGAACTCCACTCAATAGTCCCTTCACCTTGCTCCCTCCCTTGCCTCCTTCAAGACACGACTCAAGACTCTCCTTTTTGACCGTGCCTTCAGCCATCTTCCTATCCCCTCTGCCCTCCCTCAGCCCAACTCTGCTCCCCAACTCTCGGGTCCTGATCCCTGACTGTTCAGCGTCTGGGGACGTCCTCCCAACGTAAAAGCCACTTTACAAATGTCATTTTGTTGAAGTCTTTTCAATAATGCAGTACATTCAAAATCCCTTTTCTGTACAATCCTGTTTAGCCCTTTAATATGTCTCGAACACATGATAAAGCACTATATCATTTGCAAGGATTATTAAATGGCCAAATGTGATTTCTGGAAACTGTTAGAGTTGGAAAATGCTGGAGACGAAGACGTTATACTCTCTGGCCTTTTTTCTTTCCACGGTTCAGAGACTTTTGGAAATCACAATTGGATGTTTTGTCAAATTTATTATAATCCTAATAATAATCCTTGCATTTGATATAGCGCCTTATCACATCTTCGAGATGTGTCAAGGCACCTCACTTTAGAGTGTAAAGTGAATTGACTATATATTTTGTGGCCAAACAATAAAGTATTTTGTACAGCTCCTGCATATTAAATATCAATTTATTTTGAAGACATCCTTATCTTCTCAAAATAAGTGTTTATGAACTTTGTATGTGTGGACGGCGGGTGGCTGAATTGAATTTGATGTCTTCCCATTTGGGATTAGCAACGCCTTCCCATTTGGGATTAGAGGTGCTGTGTGTGCATTTCCTTCTCAAATTAGGTATTGTGGATATGTCGCCTTAAATTTGCCTGCTTTTAATGAGAAGTGTTTATAATACGCATGGATGTCAGTGTGAATTAGTGAGGGAAAACTGCTGGAGACCTGTTCTTACAATTCATCTAATGTTTGCAGTGCCAAGGTCAATAGAACATGCTGCGTGGGACTGGCGTACTAAACCAGAAAGCCACAACTTTGATGAACTTAACCACATCCTTCAGGAAAGCAAGAAACTGGGCAAAGCACTGGAGAGCCTTTCTCGCAGTGAGTGTGATTTGTGCTGTGAATGGGAAAGAGATGCCTTTTAATCACAATCACCTTGTTCTTATTCTATAAGAAAAAGGTTCAATTATTTTTGGTCAGCTGGGTGTCTAACACATATGGAAACTCGTCACGTGCTTGAGTAGCCGAAACAATCTGAAAGTTCCACATATCTGTGCCACCTGTGTCTGGAATGGGATGCACATGCTCTCCACGAGGGATGCACTCTGCTTACCTGATTACGGAGAGTATTTGGCACAGGTTGGCAAGACCCAGGGTTTGGGGACTCCAGAGTGTGCGTTGGGGTAACTGCTGGAGTCTAACCACATAAAATGGCATAGCTTGCCATAGGATCTGCTTCCTTCCATTATAATGTAATAATACATTAGAAGTGTATTTAGTAATGCAGGTGCAGACTGGAGTACTGTATTAGCCTTTTAGAAGTTTAGCTGAACTATGTCAGATAGTGTCCATGTCGCTGTTAAGTTGGATTGTCATTTTTTTCCTGTTTTTTAAAAAAAAAGTCTATGAGTTTGGTCTTCTGTTTTAATTTGTAAATATATAATTCAAATTTACCAATATAAAAGCATCATTTTACCCATTTTACAACATCCCATAGTGTGTATAAAAAAAATCCATACAGTGTTGCATAAAAAAATCTTTTGACAATGAAGCTTTTTTAAAAATGAATATGCAGTGGGTGTTATAGTACAAAACAAAGTCAGATCTGTAAAGCGCCATTCACATTGGGAAGACGTTCCAAGGCGCTGAAAGTAGGAATAAGCACCCGAGAGGCGGGGTGGGGGGAGGGGGTTGGGATCAGGGAGGGTGTAGAGCAGAATGGGTAGGAAGGTTGCCGAAGGCACGGTCAAAGAGGAGGGTATTGAGGCGTGCCTTGAAGGAGGGAAGGGAGGGAGCGAGGCGAAGAGAATGTGGGATGGAGTTCCAGAGGGTAGGGGCAGAGAGGCTGAAGGCCAACTGCTGATGGTGGGGCAGATTGGGCAGGGGACATGGAGCAGGCCAGAGCCTGCTGAGCGTAGGGAGCAGACAGGTTGATAAGGGGTTAGCAGCTCGCAGAGGTAGGGAGGGGCAAGGCCATGGAGGGCCTTGAAGGTGAGGACAAGAATTTTGTACTCGATCTTCTGAGGAATGGGGAGCCAGTGGAGCCAGGAGGGGGTGGATGTGATGGGATCACGGAGTCTGAGACACGAGCTGCAGAGTTCTGGATGATCTAGTTTGTGGAGGGAAGAGTTGGGAAGACCGACAAGCAGGGCGTAGTCGAGCCTGGTTGTAATGAAGACGTGCATGAGGGTTTCGGCGGCCTGAGGGGTGAGGCAGTGGCGGAGTCGGACAATGTTGCAGATTTGGGGGAAGGCAGAGCAGGTAATGGCACGGATGTGGGGGAGAAAGGACAGTGAGGTGGAGTGTGTATCCTTGAATGCTGGTGCTGCCAGTGCCTGAAGTGCGGAGGCGCTGGCGCAAACCAATCAGGAAAGCCTCAGTCTTGCTGATGTTCAGCTGTAGAAAGTTAAAATGATTGAGGCAAATGAATAGTCAGGCAAAGGTTAAGTTTGTCAATACCAGCTCAGTCAACTTTAACTTCTTTACTTAGAGGATAATGCTCTTTACTCAGAGGGTAATCAGCAACTGGAACATAATGACTCATTTTAAACAAGTCTAACTGGACTAGTTTAAAATAGCAGGACCTTATGATGGATGTTCTGAAAGGATGAGCCAAAGGGCCTTCTTCATCCAAACTAATCTTCTGATCTTGTGATTCAGCACGTCCAGAGGTAAAGTCTGTAAGATTAAAAAAAACTGTGACCAGGTCATTTTCACAATCCCTTTGCCTTACTCCCTCTCTTGCCTCCTTCAAGGCACGACTCAAGACCTTCGTTTTCGATCGTGCCTTCAGCTGCCCTCCTACCTCTTTGCCCTCCCTCCCAACCCTGCCCCCTCCCATGCTCAGGTCCTGATTCCTGACTGTTCAGCGCCTTGAAATGTCCTCCTAACATGAAAGGCACTTTACAACTGTAATTTTGCTGTTGTTCTTCTTTTCTTGAGAAACTATTCAATTACAATCTAACCTTAGTGTTCAGGATGGAGTAACAGTTTTGGTAATTGATGGCTTACTACCTCAAAGGTGTCAACAGAAAATCTGAGCTTGTAACATTCATAAAAAGTGGAATCATCATTGGGTTCATCAGATAACAACCTTCCATTCACTCAAGCATGGAAGTTTGGCACTGGCTGTAGAAATTTATCTTATTTCAGGTGTCTTTCTGTTTGATTTTGTTCCTTCTTGTTTAAGAGATGAACTCATAAATATCATCCATTGACATCTGGTGCAAAGAATTCAATCAGACCTTCTATTCACTTAACTGAAATTATCTCTGTTCTGCAGCTGCCAGGAGATTGCCTTGTTGCCCTGCAGATTAGTTTTGTGTGAGATACAGTTCATGTTCGCATTTTATAATCTTTTGTGATAACTACAGCAGGAATCAATAAGGTGTTATTGTTAGTGCAGTCTTCAAACGCAAATCAAATGGCCTTGTTTGAGCATGTTTCATTTTTAGGTGGTTCCAAGTCCCACGAACCTCTACGAAGTAAACAACCTATTTAATCTAGTTTGTTGATACAAACCAGGAGAAACTCACTTCAGATAGTGCTATGGGCTCTTTGATGTTCACCTGAACGGGCAGATGGGACCTCGTTTTAATATCTCGTCCATAGTAAGGCACCTCCAACAGTGTGGTGATCCCCTAGTATTGCACTGGAATAACAGCCTAGACTGTGAGCTCAAAGTCCTGAAATGGGGCTTGAACCTACAACCTTCTGACTCAGAGCGAGAGTGCTGCCAACTGAGCCAGGCTGACAGCTTCCATTATACTTCCTGTCTGAGTCAGAAGGTTCTGGGTTCAAGCCCCATGTCAGGACTTGGAAGTCATATGGTCTAAGTTGACACTCGAATGCATTGCTGAGGTTGTGCTGAATTGTTGGAGGTGCTGTCCTTTGGATAAACCATTAAACCAAGGCACCATCTACCTGCTCAGGTGAACGTTAAAGATCCCATAACACTATTCAAAAAAAGAAGGGAGTTTCTCATGATACCCTGGACAACATCATCCAGATAAAATTGGTAATTCATTCCATGGCTGTTTGTGGGATATTTCTGTTTGAAAATTGTCTGCCATGTTCACCCACATAGCACACAGTCACTGCACTTTGCAGCATATCCTATGAAGTGCTTTGGGATGTCCTCCTGAAGTGAAAGGCACCATACCAAATATAAAGATTATTGTAAAAGTGGATACAAATAATTTCAGCACAATTCTAATGAGACCACAGGAATGGAAACTACCTGTCATTTCACTATCCTGAAACCATTGCTCCGAGAAGACAGAGGGGACAGCAAGCCTCTATATGAACTACGTGCTGAACATTGTGTACCTGTTTGTTAAATGGGTTATAGTTTTGAGGATAGACAAGAAAATTTAGCTTGTTTTCAGTAGAACTCTCAAATGCAAATATTATTCTGAGGGAAGGTTTCATTGGAGATCTGACAGGTTTCAAAATTCTGAAAGGTTTAGATAGATGATCTCCAGTAAAAGATTATTCTGGCTGATTTGTGAATGGGTGATGAGGGCATAAACTCGCATTAGAGAAACGCTGCAAGAATTAAGGGGGAAATTAGAAGAAGCTTTTCCACATCAAGCGTTATTGGAATGTGAGATATTTTCCAAAAAGTAATGATAATAATAATCCTTGCATTTGATATAGTGCCTTATCGCATCTTCGAGAAGTCTCAAAGCGCTTCAAAGATTATACTGTAAAGTGAATTGTCTGTATATTTTGTGGACGTAACGTGGTAGCCGATTGCACGCAGCAGCATCCTACAAATAGTCTTGGATTGAGTGACCAAATTATTATTATTTGGAATTATTATCCCAGGAAAAGCAGGATTGCTCGATGGGCCAAACAGCTTCCTCTTAGGCTGTCTTTGCCATACTGGTATCATTTGGCGAGACCTATTCATTTGACATTGCCCAACTGTTTGAAATGAGCTTTTGTTCGCTTCTCAGGGGAGCATTACTTTGCTTTTGTGCTTTCACATGACCCCCCTAAAGTATCAGAAACTACAGAATTCACTCAAATACTGGAGGCAGTGACGTCTACACATCAGGAGCAAATAAACAACCCATTAATGTTGACATTCTGCCCAGTTATTCTCAGTAGCTACTGATATCACCACGTTTGAAGGCTGAGGTTCTCTACAACCAGCTATATCGATGACTCACAGGCGTGTAATGGTATTAGCCCGATTAAAGGTATGAGCAGCTTGGAGTTGAGTGAGACAACTCCAGAAAGAATTTTACTGCCTTAAATACAGGATTTGTGGATTAAAGAGAATGAGCCTGCCCACTGTTAATCTGTTATGCTTTTTACTAGAATGAAGAAGAAAAGAGGGTTTTTTTTTCAAGGAAGGATATTTGCTTATATCTTTAATAACCTGTGCATTCAGTTCACTGCAAGTTAATCCTGGGAACTTACTTACAATGGATTCCTAGTACGGAGTCGTTGGTAATCTCAGTATGTAGCACCAGGGTGCAGAGTTTCACATCTCTGACCGATTAGTTCAATATTGGTATCCTTCCATGATATTTTATGACTTGTATCTTACGATATAGAATCATAGAATTATACAGCACAGGAGGAGGCCATTCGGCCCATCATGTCTGTGCCGGCTCCTTTAAAAGAGCTATCCAAATCCATCTCACTCGCCTGTGAGGGGTTGTGGGTTTGAGCCCCACGTTTGAACTTTAAGATCACAGTCCAGGCTGACACTCCAATACTGTGCTGGGGGTGTGTTGCATTGTTGGGGGTGCTGTCGTCGGATGAGAAGTGAAACCGAGGTCCTGCTTCCCTGTTTAGGTGACCAAAAAAGAACATGGCACTAGTTGAAAAGAGAATGAAATTTCTACCATTGTCCTGGCCAACAATCCTCTCGATTTAAAAAAAATTGTTATTCATTTCATGGCTGTTTGTGGGACATTGCTGCACTCAAATTAGCTGACACATTCACTACATTTTACATTGTATTCCATTGCATGCTTTGAGATATCTTTTCAACATGAAAGGTTTTCCATCAAATGCAAGGATTGTTGTATTATATTTAATTTCAAATTCTTTCTCTTACCTCAGTGTGGGAAAATCTGAACAGAAGACAGACACTATGTGATTTCTTTATCACAATCAATGAGATCATTTAGGAATTCTATGCAAGTGACTTCAAGATGCACACAATCGTTTCAAAGAAAATAATATTTCTGTTTGACACATTTTCTCAGCTCACTTATCATGTTTTAATAATAATAATCCTTGCATTTGATATAGCGCTTTTCACGTCGGGAGGACGTCCCAAAGCGCTTCACAGAACACACTGTAAAGTGAATTAACTGTATATTTGTGGGCGAATGCGGCAGCAATTGCGCACAGCAATGTCCCACAAACAGTCGTAGATTGAAAATGACCAATTTATTATTGTTTTTGGTTTTTTGGAGGGATTATTATTAGGCGTGTGGAGTAAGGAAACTTACCCAAAGTTTCGCCCTGCCTGGAATTGAACGCAAGTCTCTCACTTGCAAAGCGAGTGCTCTAACCACTGAGCTACAGGACTCCGTTTTGCTGCTTTTAGCATAGTGATTAGCATACTTGCCTTACAAGTGATAGGAGCCTGGCAGGGCGAATCCTTAGGCAAGTTTCCTGCTGCCTCTGTTCACCTAGCAATAAGTAGGAACCCGGTTGTTAGTCGATTGGCTGATCACTTTCTGTGGGGTAACAATCCCTTCAAAAAAAGGGGGAAAAAAATGGTCACTTAATCTACAACCGTTTGTGGAACATTGCTGTGTTCAACTGGCTGCCGTGTTTCGCTCACAAAATATACAGTCAATTCACTTTATTGTGAAAAGCCTTGAGAAGTCTCGAAGATGCGATAAGATGCTATTTCAAATACAAGGATTATTATTATTATAAAATCGCCACATGTTTCCTGATTGATAATTTCACCGCTGAGATAAGATCCACAAGAACAGCCTTCAAAGGAATCACAAAGGGATCAATAAGAAGCAGCTGTATTTCATTCCTTGCACTTAATATCTAGCATCTGCCAGACACTGCAGAGAAAGCAATTTTTATTGTTATTTTTATTATTACAATGTGTAAAACACCAAGCAGTATGATCACATTTTGTCCTGCCAAACCCAAGTGTCTAGAGACTTTATTTTAAAGATCCTCTACTGTGGGGTGAAATACTGGTGATTACAGGTCTGGCTGCCTCGCTGATGAAAGCAATTTGAGGTGCTGAATTCAGTGTGTCACACAAATGGTGAATTGGCACAACATTCAATTGTATTGGCTTAAATATGAATTTTACTGACACATTTATGTCCTTATGGCCTGAAAAAATGTGTTGATGTGATAACCATCAAAATTGCCAAAATAGGGAAAGGGCAAGTCAATGGGATTTCTCTTAAAACAGCCAGCACAGGTACGTTGGGCCAAATGGCTTTTTTCTGCGCTGTATACTTCTATGGTTCCAATTCAGAGTGGGAGGCCAGATTTATACTAAATAATTGCTCTTGGCAGGACTTTGGACATCCACAGACTAGGAGCTCGGCTGACTGAAACAAACTTGAAGTGTTATTTAGATGTCACACGTCAGGCTCTGTAATAAGGTTAAAAATGCTTTTTTAAACATTTTTTGGGGAGTCAATTGGAAAAATACAGTGAAACCTAGTCATTTTCAAAATTGAGCATTGACCGTATTTCATTGAAGTTTCCTCCAGGCATAATGATAGTAAAAGGCTACAGTTTGCTTATGGGTATATTTTCACTGGAATTATGTTACTCAATTAAACCACTGTAGAGTGCATTTGTATTTCAAGTCGCTTTCAACCCACTGCATGACTGACTGAGCAAGAGAATTACACAAGCCGTAAAACTAGTTTTGTTTAAAAAAAAGTACACAATAAAATAATATATTGTACAGGTAAAATAATAATAAAGCTTGCATTTGGTATAGCGCCTTTCATGTCGGGAGAATGTTCCAAAGCCCTTCACAGGATTTTACTGTGAAGTAGAGTGACAGTGTTTTAATATATAAATAACAAGAACAACAAATTGCATTTGTAAAGCACCTTTCATATCAGGAGGATGTACCAAGGCACTGGACAGTCAGGGATTTGGACCCGAGCAGGGGGTTGGGATCAAGGCGGGTGGAGGGCAGGGATGGTAGGGGTAGGAGGGTGGCCAAATGTGCAGTCGAAGAGGAGGGTCTTGAGACATGCTTTGAAGATATAGATATAAATATGAATGAAATACAAAAATTAGAGACCTGTGAATGACACTTGCTCACTTTTATCTTTTTCACAGACAAAGCTAGCGGGGAGTGAGGGATTGTCAAGCAGAGAATAAGGTGCACCTTCCTTTAAGGGCAGTAAGAATGAAAGAGCTTACCATGTTGTAGCGCCTTATGGGACTATGGGACTTTGCAAAGTCCCAGTGTGCTTTAGACTAATTGCTGTCACATTTAATTATTGCTGCTTTGTAGGCAAACATGACAGCTTTTATTTTGCACATTTTGCAAGTTCCCACAGAAAGCCATGAGGTGAATGATCAATTGTATTTTGCGGGATTGCTGGCCAAGACACCCGGAGAAACTCTTTTCAAATAGTGTCTAAGGATCTTTAACATCCACCTGAACCAGCAGATGCTCAACCTAGGTTTAACGTTTCATTCATCTCATTTTGTAGAAAACCACTCTCCAATGTTCTCATTAAAAAAAACTTGCATAATTTAAGTTGAAATTGGAAGATGTTGTATAAAATAAAGTTTAAGTTTTTCCAATGAGAACAAGATTGAATTCCCTTTTGAAGATTGCTTCCATTTCTCAGCCTCGGAATTTTCTCTTTCATTCTTCCACTATGGCACTCTGTTCTGGCGAGGATAATAATAATATTAATCCTTGCATTTGATATAGCACCTTATCACATCTTTGAGACGTCTCAAAGGACACGCGTAAGCATTGCTTCCTTCCGTGCCTCATTAGTGAGACATTAGTGAGACAACAACCTAATGTTGTTATTCCAGTTGAAGCAGCAAATCAATCATCGGCTGTGACTCTGCAGCAGAAACGTTGAGATTCCAATAATTTAATTCCTGTAATTATCAGTTACATTGTGCTACACTTCTCGCTCCCCTGGTGGAAGCAGATCAGTATCTCAGACTGGTTGTTCTTGTGCTTAAATACACTTTAACCGCTGCCATTTTTAGAGTTCTTTATTATCATTAAACAGTCTTGGTTTTCATCTTAGTGTGCTGAAAAACATACAAAAGCATGGCTGATATTAAGTGAATGCTTTTTACATGAAGGGAATAACCAATTTTATCTGGACAATTGTTAGCCAAGACACCAGGAGAAAAACCCTTTTCTTTTCATGCCATGGAATCCTTGAGATGCACCTGAACAGTTGGATCTTGGTTTAACACCTCATTTGATGGATGGCACCTCCAACAAGTGCTGTAGCTCAGTGGTTAGAGCACTTGCCTTACAAACGAGACACCTAGGTTCAATTCCAGGCAGGGCGAAACCTTGGGAAAGTTTCCTTACTCCACATGCCTAATAATAATAAAAAAATTGATCATTTTCAATCCACGACTGTTTTTGGGATACTGCTGTGTGCAATTGGCTGCCACGTTTCACCCACAAAAATACCGTCAATTCACTTTACAGCATATTCTATGAAGCGCTTTGAGACATCTAGAAGACATGAAAAGCGCTATATCAAATGCAAGGATTATTATATTATTATTATTATAACAACACAGTGCAGCTGCAGTAAGGAATTGGACTGTCAGCCTGGACTATGAGCTCAAAGTTCAATCAGCAAATACCAAACTGGTTAAAGGAAATTTTGTTTTAAAGAAAGTGAGAAGTATTTACCTGTGATTTCCTCACCCTCCTCTGAGATGGAGTCACAAAATAGGAACATCACTTGTGTCATTGCCATTATAAGATTACAAGTGAGGTTTGGATGAAGAAGGCCCTTCAGTCCATTTGGCCCATTTGATCTCATCTTTCCAGAATATTCACCTGCTATCAGTCAATACAGCATCAAGCTCTTTCTTTAAATGAGTCTAGCGTCCTGGCCTCAACATGCGTGCAATATTTTCTTTGAGAGGTGTATTTCGATATATTTACATGACAAATATGTCTCATTTGTTGTTTTTATTTCTTCCCCTCTTGTCACAGGTATCGCGCTGTCTGATGAATTTGATCAGGTAAGTGTTGGTTTGTGTACTTACATTTTATCAACCGTAGTTAGTGCTATGCTCTGGAGATCTGTGCTGGAATATTAGTTAAGCAACCACAACACCATTGTGTATTTATATAGCATCCTTCAAGCAGGACAGTGTCTCGGAATAAATGTATTAACCCTTAGAATACTGCAGCTGGGTTCACTCACTCACGGTCCCCGGTTGTTAGGTCAGGTACGAAAATATTGAATATTGAATATTGTGCTTCTGTCCAATATGTATTCTCTTTATATTGTTAATTAGATACTGGTATTAAAATCAACCAGTGTAAGTCAATACATTGTCGTGTGCTTTACTGTGCGAGATCTAATTATCTTACTCACAGTATGACTTTTTTTCTGTGAGAGTCTCATTTGGTGTCTATCCATCATCCATGGAAGAGCAAGTGGGGAAAAAAGGATGAAAATAATTACATTTATACAAAGAAACAAACGCAAGCAAAACACTGAAGTTTGTTAAGTGATTTTTTTAATATTCTTTTACTTACTCCTCACCTGAATCGCCCAACTCTGCCAGGGTGCTCACACAAGATGCTCACACCTGTGAGAATGGATAGTGAGTCCGGAGGCCACTTCAGCTGGAGAAGGCATCGCAACCAAGCCTGATGCTGCCCTTGCCCAACACCTTACACCTGCTTTTCTAGCAGAGGTCACTGGGTAGTGATGAGGAACAGGAATCCCAGTGGATGTCACCCCCCCCGCCCCCTTGCCTGGGAACTCCAGTGTCAAATGTTAGTACCTGAGGTGGCATCGACTAGCCATTATTGGAGCCTTGACCACCATTGGTGTTTGTGCCTTCAGCCTCTCTGCCCCACCCTTTGGGACTCCATCCCACAGTCCCTTCACCTCATCCCCTCCCTTGCCTTCTTCAAGGCACATCTCAAGACCCTCCTCTTCAGCCGTGCCTTTGGTCACCCTCTATGCACTCCACCCTCCCTGCTCTCCATCCCTCCTGATCCCAACCCTCAGTTCTGATCCAAATCCTTGATTGTCCAGTGCTGCGGGACGTCCTCCCAATGCTATTCTTTTCGACTGCACCTTTGGTCACCTTCCTCCCCCTCCCCTTGGCTCAGCCCCGGGATCAGTTACTGTGAAACGCTCTGAGACGCCGTCCGACGTGAAGGGCGTTATATATAAATCCAAATTGTTGTTGTGACCTGCTGTCCTGCATGGTGTTCTACACTAGACATGGCCACTATCCACTAGACCATCAGATGAGCCCCAAACATGAGTGATGTTAGAGTTCATTTTTTTTGCTAGGACTAAAGCAAGGTTGGTGGTCGGGCTAAACAATTATGCATAAATAAGATATTTGGAGAAAAAAAACAGGATTTTGATAACTCATTTATCATGTCTGTAAATCTGATTTAAAACTGTATTTCTTAGTTGCTTAATGCAGCACAATGTGTGGTATTTCCTGAGCTATTCTAATCCCAAGATTGGCTCCTATGAAGAAAGCCCTTTGGGCCATTTGATTTCATCCTTCCAAATATTCATTGTTTGCTTTCTCCAATTTTCTATCATCAAATACTCTTTCTGGCAAGAATTAGTCAGGATATCATTCTTATGGTACCTGTTAGGAGGGAGAGCACAGTAGAATTCATACATGTGAGATTAAGGCTTTGCAATGTTTACATTAATTACTTAGAATCTTTTTACATTTAATGGACAAGAAGAGTTTTGAAGAGCCCATTTTTACTTAATTGGGTTTGTAAATAATCAGGACAAGAGAGGATCATTAAGAAGTATGTATTTCTTCAGCATAAAAGGCCAATGGTTTAATAGACAAGAAGATTTTAATCAAAAACAGAAGTCGCTGGGAACAATCAGCAGGTCAGGCAGCATCTATGGAGAAAAAAAAGTGAGTCAACCTTTCAGGTCTACGATCCTTCCGTTATTACTGACAAAGTTCTGACGAAGGGTCGTGGACCCGAAACGTTGACTCACTTTCCTTTCTCCATAGATGCTGAGTGTTCCCAGCGACTTTTGTTTTTGTTTCAGATTTCCAGCATCTGCAGTATTTTGTGAAGAGGATTTTAATGTTCTGTTAGTCTATTAACTTCAAAACTCCAACAGCTGAAGATGGCAAGTTGGATCATTGCGAAAGCATTGAATGTGAAAAAGCCATTCACAAGATCACAAGATTGGTTTGGATGAAGAAGGCCCTTCAGCCCATTTGGTCTCATCCTTCCAGAATACCTACCCAACCATCCTCCAATCGCAGTGTCTACCTCAACCACCCTTCCTGGCAACCTGTTCTAGTCATTAAATATTCCCTGGGTGAAATACCTTCTGTGAATTGCTCCAAGATGTTACCCAATGTGCAGGCCACTACATAAATGCAGGTTGCTGTTGTTGGGTAACAAAATACTTCCTCGATTAATGAAGCCTTCTGAGGAAAGCTCTGCTATGCTCTCCCTAAACCTCAACGTCAATTACGCTAAAAACTTAAAAGTAAAAGTGCGTGTATTTGTTCTGGATATGTACAAATTCACTACACTACCAGAACAGCACTCCAAGATATTACTCCACTTGGAGGGCACTAAGTAAATACAGGGCGGATGCTTAAAAAATGTTGCAATTTCAATTAAATAGGAAGTTTTTCCACAATATTCCAGATGCAAATTCTATTTAATGCAAATATTTATGGTTGTTCGTCAGTGTCACATCTACCAAATTATTTAGGCTGTATGTCAGCTGCACATCTGGTGATCTGTTATGAATGAAATGATGCTCTTCAGATATGAGCTGCTCTCTGTATGTACACCACCATTTTATGCCGCTGTGCCAATTTCGCCTACATAATGAGGTAGATATGTTTCAGTTGCCATCAGCTGTGTTCTCCTACTATATTGTTTTTTGCCGTGGAATTGGTTGAAGTATAAAGAAACCCTCCCACACATGCTTAAACATCTATTCTGAAACAACGGTGGATTGTCAAATGACTCGGGGAAAAATTCAAAACATTGTCAGCATAACAGAATGCCTGAGTGGAGTTTAGCACTATATAGCATCATCTTTCTTTTTATAATCTGGCCAGTTTTTACAGATTTGATACCAACATTTAAAACACTTCAGCTCTAAGTCCAAAATCGGCAAATGGGAATACAGACAAACCTGTTCAAACAACAACAACTTGGATTTATATAATGCCCTCCACGCCAGACAGCGTCTCAGAGCGCTTTACAGTAACGGATCCCAGGACCAAGCCAGGGGGAGGGGGAGGAAGGTGACCAAAGGCGTGGTCGAAAAGACAGGTCTACAGCAGAGACCTGAAAATGGGAAGGGAGGGAACGAGGTGAAGGGAGTGAGGAAGGCAGTTCCAGAGCCTCGGGGCATAGTGGCTGAAGGCACGGCCGCTGAGGGTGAGGCGGAGGACATGGGGGACAAGGAGTAGGCCAGACCCGGAGGAACGAAGGCAACGGGTACTGTTTTGAGGAGAGAGGAGGTCAGAGAGGTAGGGGGTGCAGAGGAGTGCAGGGACTTGAATACAAGGGTGAAGATATTGAAATCTCTATTCAGCAACCACTCTGAGCGCTCTGAGACGCCGTCTGGCATGGAGGGCACTATATAAATCCTAGTTGTTGTTGGCTGCCGTGTTCACCTACAATATACACAGTCAGTGTACTTTACAGTAAAATCCTGTGAAGCTTTTTTTGACAATGTAATAAGACAATGCAAAATTACAAAATCACATTTGTGTAGTGCCTTTCACGTTGGGAGGACATCTGAAGATGCTAGACGTTCAGTGATTTGTACCCGAGCAAGGGGGGTGTTGGGATCAGGGAGGGTGCGGAGTAGGTGGAGGGTGGCCAAAGGTACGGACGAAGGGGGAGATCTTGAGACACGCCTTGAAGGATGTGTTAAGGAAAAACCTTTTTCGAGTTCCAATCAAACACAGCTACTGTTTGCAACTAGTATGGTGTTTATTAAACTCCAGGATCCGTCCAAGTTCCCGATGGGCGTGGGCAAGTAAGCACAATCAATAAATTCACTAACAGAACAATACTACCGCGTAATCCCTCCTCGTGGTCGTCTACTTCTGCCTTCTCGCTCTCAGTGTTCCATCCACGGTAGGTACTGCCCTGGGCGCGCCCCGATCTTGGTCTGGCACCGTGTCTTAAGCTTGTGTCCTTCCAATCATGGTGCGGACATTAGGTCACCTGGCCAAAATCATGCTGGGTTCAAGTGAACATCTCATGGAGTGTACGTGCCTCACACACACAAACATACTGTCCTTGAGACAGTCCCTTAGCTTGTGTACTTGCAGGGCAGTAGTACACATCTTGTCCTTGAGATACTCACGTGATCCTGGGAAACTCATGAGTTTCAGTCCAGTTGCTCCCCCACACTTAACTTAAAAGTTAACCCGTTCGCAACATCTATTATGATTCTAACATTATACAAAAAGTGTAAATTCTAACAGAGGCAAGGGAAGGACTGAGGCAAAGGGAATGTGGGATAGAGTTCCAAAGGTTGGGGGCAGAGAGGCTGAAGTCCCGACCGCTAATGATGGGGATATGGTGAAGGCCAGAGCCTGCTTAGCAGAGGGAGCAGACAGGTTGATATGAGACGCTAGATCAGCAAAAATTAGTATTACTTTATCCTCTGAGCTGAAATTCAGATTTTATGTATTCAGATCACACTGGGGAGTGGGAGATGTATTGCATGTTCAGGGTCTTGGTATATGATTATTGGAACACCAAAGCACCAGACCTCCCTAACCACCATAACCCTGCTCAGTGTTGACCACTGGCTCCTCATCCCATACCCAGTGGGTAACTGGGATTCATAGGCCTGGGTTTCTGCTACTTAGTCTTAACTGTAAGATCATTGTCTTCAAATTTAAGATCTGTAAATAGCTGGCTTCCAAATTCAGACTGAATTTAGGAACGTTCCAAAATTCCACACAATCCTAAATTTTGAGAGAATGTTTTAAGGCCAAGACTATGAGAATGTTTATTC